TTTTCAAGTTAAAGTTCGGTAATTTTAGAATATTTAATTAATCATATTGTCGAGCAGTTTTGGGACGACCTTCTACCAGCGATTTTACGGAAATGAAACAATCAATTCAGTGCCAACATTTCAAAGGGGCGTAATTGCATTTGTAAACAATGGCTTTAGCCATAGATTTCTCGCAAATAAAAGCTCACTCATGAAAAATAATAACACCAACAGGTAGAGGAATGTTTCCTCTACCAGCTAGCATTGTAATTTTGGAGAAGTAAGATATCATTCGCAAGAAATTGACTGCTAAAGTCATTGTTTACAAAAGCAATTACGCCCCTTTGAAATGTTGACATTGAATTTCAGATTTTTCAAGCATTTTACAAATAAGACCCTACTTTCTCGAGGTTGTAGAGGAAAAAATATTAAAATATTGTTCCACGTTAAAGTTCGAGTGGTAGGAAACGTCATTTTAAACTGCTCGAATGATGTGATCCATTTCGAAAAAACGACTAAGTGCTTGTAAACAGTACCACTGAACTGTCAAAAAGGTTCAGCCTATTAACACTGAGTTCATTCGTGACGTCACGCTGCAGAACCTAATTAGGTTTTGCACCGTCGGGGTTAACCTCAATCTGATGACAGTTTAGTGGTACTATTTACGTGGACTTAGCCGATTTTTTCTTGGGTGGATTTTCTCGATAATTTTTCAGACTGCAGTGAGATGCAAACCACACTTCTGCAATGTCTATGAGCAACATCCTTTCATCGCGCTGTTCCTCAACAATTTTCAAGTTAAAATTCGGAAATTTTAGAAATTTTTTTTTCGAAAAAACGACTAAGTGCTTGTAAACAGTACCACTGAACTGTCAAAAAGGTTCAGCCGATTAACACTGAATTCATTCGTGACGTCACGCTGCAGAACCTAATTAGGTACTGCAGCGTGACGTCACAAATGAACTCAGTGTAAATCGGCTGAACCTTTTTGACAGTTCAGTGGTACTGTTTACAAGCACTTAGTCGTTTTTTCGAAAAAACAAATTCTAAAATTTCCGAATTTTAACTTGAAAATTGTCGAGGAACAGCGCGTTGAAAGGATGTTGCTCGTGGACATTGCAGAAGTGTGGTTTACATCTCACTGCAGTCTGAAAAATTATCGAGAAAATCCACCCAAGAAAAAATCGACTAAGTCCACGTAAACAGTACCACTAAAGTGTCATCAGATTGAGGTTAACCCCGACGGTGCAAAACCTAATAATATTAGGTTTTGCACCGTCGGGGTTAACCTCAATCTGATGACAGTTTAGTGGTACTATTTACGTGGACTTAGCCGATTTTTTCTTGGGTGGATTTTCTCGATAATTTTTCAGACTGCAGTGAGATGTAAACCACACTTCTGCATTGTCCACGAGCAACATCCTTTCACCGCGCTGTTCCTCGACAATTTTCAAGTTAAAATTCGGAAATTTTAGAATTTTTTTTTCGAAAAAACGACTAAGTGCTTGTAAACAGTACCACTGAACTGTCAAAAAGGTTCAGCCTATTAACACTGAGTTCATTTGTGACGTCACGCTGCAGAACCTAATTAGGTTTTGCACCGTCGGGGTTAACCTCAATCTGATGACAGTTCAGTGGTACTGTTTACGTGGACTTAGTCGATTTTTTCTTGGGTAGATTTTCTGGATCATTTTTCAGATTGCAGTGAGCTGTAAACCACACTTTTGCAATGTCCACGAGCAACATCCTTTCACCACGCATTTCCTCAACAATTTTCAAGTTAAAATTCGGAAATTTTAAAATATATTTTTTTCGAAAAAACGACTAAGTGCTTGTAAACAGTACCACTGAACTGTCAAAAAGGTTCAGCCGTTTAACACTGAGTTCATTTGTGACGTCACGCTGCAGAACCTAATTATTAGGTTCTGCAGCGTGACGTCACGAATGAATTCAGTGTTAATCGGCTGAACCTTTTTGACAGTTCAGTGGTACTGTTTACAAGCACTTAGTCGTTTTTTCGAAAAAAAAATTTCTAAAATTTCCGAATTTTAACTTGAAAATTGTTGAGGAACAGCGCGATGAAAGGATGTTGCTCATAGACATTGCAGAAGTGTGGTTTGCATCTCACTGCAGTCTGAAAAATTATCGAGAAAATCCACCCAAGAAAAAAACGACTAAGTCCACGTAAACAGTACCACTGAACTGTCATCAGATTGAGGTTAACCCCGACGGTGCAAAACCTAATTAGGTTTTGCACCGTCGGGGTTAACCTCAATCTGATGACAGTTTAGTGGTACTGTTTACGTGGACTTAGTCGATTTTTTCTTGGGTGGATTTTCTCGATAATTTTTCAGACTGCAGTGAGATGTAAACCACATTTCTGCAATGTTCACGAGCAAAATCCTTGCAACGCGCTGTTCCTCGACAATTTTCAAGTTAAAATTCGGAAATCTTAGAATTTTTTTTCGAAAAAACGACTAAGTGCTTGTAAACAGTACCACTGAACTGTCAAAAAGGTTCAGCCGATTAACACTGAGTTCATTCGTGACGTCACGCTGCAGAACCTAATTGGCGTCTTGCAGTGAAACTTTTCCAAGCTTTCGCCTCCTACATTTCGAAGTGAGAACTACTAGAAGGAGGATAGTTTCCAAATTCTCCAAGTAAAACAGACGATTTTTAGGGCAAATCGGTCCATAAAGAAAAACTAATAATAATTTCCCGTGGAAACTTTTGCTTGAATCGTGTAAGAAAACGTGTTTGAAAACTAATTGTTATTATTTCGGTATGGATCGGAGATGTTTTCATGGCAAATTATGCATAACAAGTTTGCACCCACAGGGAGAGGTTACCTCCTGCGCAGCTCCAGCATTTTTCAGAAAATGGTAAATATGTGCGATTTTCACTAAGATGAAAGTGGAAATTAAGTGAATTTACTTAGGAAAGGTTTTATCATGCTGGTGGTAATGGAGAATTGGTTGTATAGGACGCCAATATTCAATAAATGTTCATTTTGGCCTTTTTTAAGCAAACATATTGATACTTACAATTTTCGACGGAAAACGCACCGGAACTTGATTTACTCAACACGCACCATACTATAAAATGGTGCTAGATGGTTTTCAAAGTGATAACAAGATGACAAATCATCTTTATTTTGAGTAATTGAGCAATTTACTTCTGTTTACCACAGGCCAGTGACAAGGCCTATACCAACAGCAGCGTTTGACAGTAGGCAGCATGTCCCGGGCCCAAATCATTTATTTTGCTGTGCTGGGCCCGCTGTCACTGTATAACATGTTGCCTACGCGCCTGCCACTGGGCTGGTTTACCATCATATTTTCGATGCAGCATTGATGGAGCCGTGAAATGAAATGAATATATCTTATGAAAGTTCACCTGGAAAAGTCAAAGATGCACATCAGTCTGATCGTAAAAACGGTTTCTTCTTCAATTCGAATGTTATATTGGAAGGATTTCACGTAGGCTTGATGAAAATTATGATTTAATGCTAATTTTCACGAATTTTATATGCAGTCTGTCAACATTATCATCATCATGCAGTGGCGACATCTGCGTTGAGCTTTTGCGGCAATCTTCCAATTAGTGTAGTGTTCGTGAGATCCTGCTTGGAGAACTCAATACACGGTGTTTCGCGAAAACCCATTAATGGGTATAAAAATACCCATTTCCGCTAAAAGTGCCCCTCCTCATTTAATGGGTAAACTATGGTTTACTCATAAATGGGTAAATGGGTGGTCTGTCAAAAAATGGGTGTTTTTTCACCCATTTTCTTAAATTGTTTTTACCGTAAAATGGGTGAAAAAATACCCATTTTTGCAAATGGAGAATGCAAGCGCTCGTTGATGTAAAAAACTTTCTAATACATTGAAAATAAATGCAGATGTTCCGCTCAAATTTTATACGAAATATTATAATACCGAATTGAAAACTTGTTGTCATTTGTGACAACTGTCAAACTTTCCGTTTCCGTTCCGCTTCCGTCCATATTGCGTTTGGGCCTTAACTGTTTGCATTCCCAATGAATCGGTGACGGAAATGAGACGATGAAATTTCGAAGTGTTTTTTCACCCATTAGTGGGTAAACAATTTACCTATTATTCAACCGTGAACTGATTCTTTAAATGGGTATTTTTTCACCCATTTTATGATTTCAAATTTCCCCCATTTTTTGACAGCTGCATACATGTAGGTATTTTTTTTACCCATAAATGGGTTTTCACGAAACACCGTGTAGAGCATTTTATTAGACGTTTCTGGTTCAACTCATGAATGAACTTTGACAGGAGGCGGTTACTAAACGGCTGTGACAAGCAATATCAATATCATCAAATTCTGGCAGGCAAACCAGCTCCTGTCATTTCATAAAATGGACTATAAGGAGCTGCACCGTCGGGGTAACCTAACTTTTTTGACATCTGGCAGTGGTTTGCTTACATGGACTTAGAAAAAAAAGGTTAAAAAATTTATTAATTTTTTTTAACGATTTATTGGAGAGGAATATTTTTCAAATGAACATAGTCGGATATCATATCTTTTAATTCTTTTTATTTAAAACCTCAAATCCACTTGAATTGACTTGCAAGCAAAGGTAAACAAACCACCAATGGATGTCAAAATGATGAATTCGGGTTCATCGCGTTCATTCGTGAAGTCAGCGTGCAGCATCCTATACTTTTTTTAGCGATGCTGAGTCGGATCTCAATCTCACTAAAGTTCAACTAATTATTATTCTCCCGAATATCCTTATGACTTAAAAACCAGTATTTTTTAGCATGAAAGCTAGCGATTTGCATTTGTATGATTAAAACCCTGCTAAATATGTTAAACATTGCTATCACTATGAGATTATATTAGTTTAATTGGAAATAGGAATAACTTTTCGGTCATCAAAACAAAACTTAATTTTTCTCGGATTGGTGCGAATGTTACTTACGACATAATGAAAATTTGCTCTGATTTAATCTCCAACTCACCCCAGTTTTTCCTCTCTCTCTTTTCAGAACTATGCAACAATCTATTGGAAAGCGATTTACTAATCATCGTTGGGATGGCCAGAGCACTCCACACAAACCTAAACGCTAAGTTCAGGTGTGAAACCCTTAAACTAGCAGTTGTGAAAAACGAATGGTTAGCAAAACGTCTTGGTGGGGAGACATTTTCTGTTATTTGCAAATACGAAAACATATGATATTTTATTGAATTTCGGTATGCTAAGTGATTTGAATAGAAAAATACGCCACAAAACAAAAAAATATATTAGTATTTGTTCAACTAGAGGTTCTTACGTAATTTTCATCCGAAAAACAATCGCCCTAATATCCATATAAGCCATCAATTTAATTTAATGGCAAATGATGCTCCACACGAGCAACCTTGTTCGGCTTTTGGATTGTTTATGATCCTGAATCCGGACCGTATCAGCTCTGTGTGAAAATCGATCATTGACCCATCTACGTACTCAATAGAAGTCTGATCTATTACGACTCGTGCATCATTTTCACCATACACCAAATCATCCGATTTAAGTTTGTCATCTATGTCGAACTTGTACTGGAACCCTGAACAACCACCGCCTTCAATAGTGATGCGAAGGAAAGATTTTTCGTCGCAAATTTCCCTGAGACGTTTCAGACAAGTGTCACTGAGCTTCAAATGTCCTGCGATAGCCGGTTTCGATGAAAACAATGCGTCTCGTAGAATTACATGTGGTTTTCTGGAATATCGATCAATTATTAGATATAAATAATATTACTGCATAAGTTACTACATACTGTACCAAAATAGTTGCTAACATATTTCGAAAGAGTGCCATTTCGACTTGACTTATTTAAAACCTCAAATCCACTTGAATGACTAACAAGCAAAGGTAAACAAACCACCAGATGTCAAACTGATGAATGCGGGTTCATCACGTTCATTTGTGACGTCATCGTGCAGCATCTACACTGAAAAAAGTTTTTACTTAGTTTCTATTAGGAAAGCACATAATAATTTTCCAAAAACAAAAATAATAATTTTTATGTGAATATCGGATAACATCAGAAATTCTATGTGACTAATCATATAGATTTCATTGGACACATAACGTTCATGTGCTTTAGTGGTGCAATTTCCAATTATGGGATCACATGAAAGTTATGTGAAATTCACATGGATATTTTCCACTGGTTATGTGATTTATTTTATTATTATTATTATTTAACTTTATTAAGGAGGCTTTCAGCCTTGGGCTGGTTCGCCTCCAAGTGATTTATTTTATGAGTGACGTTAAATAAAGGAAAAGAAGAAGAAGAGGTTTTAAATTAGGTTTTGCACCGTCGGGGTTAACCTCAATCTGACGACAGTTTAGTGGTACTGTTTACGTGGACTTAGTCGATTTTTTTCTTGAGTGGATTTTCTCTATAATTTTTCAAACTGCAGTGAGATGTAAACCACATTTCTGCAATATTCACGAGCAACATTCTTGCAACGCGCTGTTGCTCGACAATTTTCAAGTTAAAATTCGGAAATTTTAGAATTTTTTTTTGGAAAAAACCGACTAAGTACTTGTTAACAGTACCACTGAGCTGTCAAAAAGGTTCAACCGATTGGCGTCTTGCAGTGAAACTTTTCCAAGCTTTCGCCACCTACATTTCGAAGTGAGAACTACTAGAAGGAGGATAGTTTCCAAATTTTCCAAGTAAAGCAGACGATTTTTGGGGCAAATCGGTCTATAAAGAAAAACTAATAATTTCTCGTGGAAACTTTTGCTTGAATCGTGTAAGAAAACGTGTTTGAAAACTAACTGTTATTATTTCGGTATGGATCGGAGACGTTTTCATGGAAAATTATGCATAACAAGTTTGCACCCACAGGGAGAGGTTACCTCCTGCGCAGCTGCATTTTTCGGAAAATGGTGAATATGTGCGATTTCCACTAAGATGAAAGTGGAAATTAACAGAATTTACTTAGGAAAGGTTGTATCATGCTGGTGGTAATGGAGAATTGGTTTTATAGGACGCCAATGTTCAATAAATGTTCATTTTGGCCTTTTAAAGGCAAACATATTGATTTTCACAATTTTCGACGGAAAACGTAACGGAACTTGATGTACTCAACACGCATCATACTATAAAATGGTGCTAGATGGTTTTCAAAGTGATAACAAGATGACAAATCATCTTTATTTTGAGTAATTGAGCAATTTACTTCTGTTTACATCATATTAACGATGCAGCATTAATGGAGCCATGAAATGAAATGAATATATCTTATGAAAGTTCATCTGGAAAAGTCAAAAATGCACATCAGCCTGATTGTGAAGACGTTTTCTTCTTCAATTCGAATGTTATATTGGAAGGATTTTACGCAGGCTTGATGACAATTATGATTTAATGCTAATTTTCACGAATTTTATATGTAATCTGTCAACATTATCATTATCATGCAGTGGTGACATCTGCGTTGAGCTTTTACGGCAATCTCCCAATTAACACTGAGTTCATTCGTGATGTCACGCTGCAGTTAGCGCCGGCGACCAAATTTGGACCAAGTGGTGCCGCGAAGTTCGAGTCGCCCAACTCCGCCCCGTCCGCTGAGCGGTCCGGGGGCCGCTGGCGACTAGCCCGCTGTATGTGGGATTTTGCTCAACATCAACAATTCAGTGCCAACATTTCAAAGGGGCGTAATTGCATTTGTAAACAATGGCTTTAGTCGTCGATTTCTCGTGAATAAAAGCTCACTCATGAAAAATAATGACACCAGCAGGTAGAGGAATGTTTCCTCTATCAGCAAGCAATGTAATTTTGTAGAGGTAAGATTACATTCACGAGAAATTGACGGTTAAAGTAATTGTTTACAAAAGCAATTACGCCCCTTTAAAATGTTGGCACTGAATTACATTTTTAATCCTAGCTCTGAAGTTCAGGTTAGGAAAAAATTTAGGTTAAAACAAAACGTCAGCTATTGTTGGTAAACAAACCGACAGCATAGATCAGTGCACGGTCCCTAACCTCACTTTTTGCTCCCTATCATTTTGCTTCTGAGTAAAAGAGATAGCAACGAATGGGAGCCAAAACAAACCACCCAAAACTGTCAAAACTTACGGGTGAGAGAAGAGTGCGGCAAATCTTCGTGAACTGATCAATTGTTGACAGCACTCCCCCATGCACTCAAAAATATAACTACCCACAAATCTAAAAAACCTACTACTGCGTGCACTTCCATTCTATTACCGAGAACCATGATTTTTCGATAAATTCCTTCCACGCTATTGGTCCTGACCTTTGGGTCCATGGTGTGAATCAAGGTGACTACATATAGGTGTTCTAATGTGTCAAATTCATGATTCAGCCATGTTGGATTTTTGTATGGGACAGCGACCGAGTTTGTTTACAATTTGCTCTAGAACCACACTTCCCCCCTCCCCCCCCCCCCCCGCGACCTCCTTGCCTATATAGTGACAAAGCTGTATCACCATTTATATACCCACCATGGTGTGAATCCTCCATTTGAAAAAAACAAAAGTAGTTTTTACCCATTTTATGGTAAACACAATTTAAGAAAATGGGTAAAAACGCCCATTTATTGACAGACCTCCCATTTACCCTCTAATGAGTAAACCGTACACAGTAAAAAAAGTTGTTGAATATTACATCCAAACAGCTGCACAGAGGTCATTCCGCTGGAGGTGTAATTTTACGTTGTACGATGTACATCGATCTTGCGAACAAAATTACATCTATTGTATCTGCTTTTTGCTATTACATAATTATTTCATACATCAGCTTGAATTACATTTTTTTCCTGTGTAGTTTATCAATTAAATGAGGAGGGGCACTTTTAGCGGAAATGGGTATTTTTATACCCATTAATGGGTTTCCGCGAAACACCTCCCAGAAGGAAAAATGTTAGCGTTAGGCCAACGTTAGACGTGACCATGCTGATCGATCTGCATGACTCGGGTCGAATTATGCTCCCCAGAAGGAAAAATGTTAGCGTTAGACCAACGTTAGACGTGACCATGCTGATCGATCTGCATGACTCGGGTCGAATTATGCTCGGGCTACATGACTCGAGTCGGCTTTAGCTCGACACGAGTGTTTTCGCAGCTATCGTTTTCGTTGACGATGACTCAGTAACACTTTACTAGAAACCCATCTGGGGATTTTACTCTTTACTCCTATGGTAAATTCCCATAAGCAAACGTGTTCAAAATGTTCGATGTTACTTAAGTCAGGAAGGAGATGCCGTTTGTCTTAAGTAACATTATTTTTTAATTCTTTATTATAGTCTTAAGTAACAGCACAGAGCAACCCGTGAAAAGTGTACGTTTCGTTTTGTTTTCTCATTATTAAAGTGAATAAATTGAACTGTTTGTTGCTAAGATGATTTCGGTGGTCCTTAAAAGATGAATGGGTTGCACGTAAGGAGACGTGTGTGATAATTCTCCCGAATATTCTGGTAAATACACTTTGACTTAAGTAGCATTAGGGGGCCACCAAACGACGTATAATAACTTTTGACTCAAAAACCAGTATTTTTAGCATGAAAGCTAGCGATCTGCTTTTCGGGGAATGTGCATCAGTTGCTTCCTCGGTTGATTTTACCGTCGTAGCACTAACATTTTGGTTTAGGTTGGGATTAGTCTTGTTTTTTTCTTTAATGTTGCTAATGTAATGATTGTGAACTGCACGAAACATGTAAATCTCATTACGTTCCCTAGACGATTGGTCTATCTAGGGGACGTAATAAAATTTGCATCTTTGTTCTGGTTGGATGTTGAATCCACTTTCATGCCAATCCAGGCCTAATCAAAATTTTACTGCTACCGCGGTAAAGGAAAAGCAACCGAGTAAACAACCCATGAGCTGTCAGACCACTTAGTAGAACAGGAGTTTTCCCTAATCAAAAGAACACATCTTAGTCCGTAACAAGTTTTACACAATGTTGTTAGTCACAAGACTCTGGTTGCCCACCGAGGATGATATTGAAAAAAAAAAAAGAAAATATGGGTAGGTCTTATATGTGATTTCTTATCTTCTATTCGTTGTTCTCAAGTTTGAAGTAGTTAAGATTAGGATTCTGATGCATGGTCAATAAAGGTGTCACTGCTTGATTTTGTCCCCAAGGATTCTGATTTTGCTTCCCATACGTGAGTGACTACCGACTGAGTCGGACGTGTGTGCTGTTTGCTGCTGCGTTCAGTGTTGTTGCTGGTTCGAGGAAAGTGTTCGACGGAAGGCTGGTCCGGTAATACGGATTAGGAGGCGGATTGGTGGAGTGATACTAAGATAAGGTGGCGGTTAACATCCGCAGGTGATGCGCTATAACTTGCGTGACGGTTTCAATCGGTGGCGGTGATAGAAGAAGAAAGAAAAAGCGTGATTGAGACTACTTTTGGCAGAATTGCTGCTGAAGGGGCGAAGGGTCTATGCGGGGAGATCCAGAGTGCATATGTGTGCGAGGGGAGCGCAAGGGGAGTTGCGTTTAAGAGTGGAAATTGTTGATTCCACGCCGAACGGTAGAGATAATTTCGAGTGCGAGAAGGCAGGAAATGGGAAGAAAAGAAGAAGCTGATAGTGCCAAAAATATAGCGGCAAACAGTAGTGTGTGAGTGAGCACCCTAAAGGAATACAGAGTAAAGCGGTGGTGAAATTCTGTTAGACGAAGAGAGTAGAAAGAGAAGCAAAAAGAAAACGGTGAAAGATTGCGGCAGCGGTTTTAATGCAGTGACAACCGATAGTAGGAGAGTGAGTGCCACATAGGTGTTTCATCTTCTCGTAGTAGGGGTTAAAAGAGAAAAAGAAGGAGAAGAACAGTGAAGTCCGACCGCAACGCGGTCCACAAGAAAATAGTTTCCCTAGAAGCCCTTCAATTTAGTGAAGAGGAA